CTTGCAGTAGGCAGCTACTGCCTAGCAATCTAGTATCAGAGTTTCATAGTCCCTCTGCTAAGACTTCAGTGAATGAATACAAAATATGTGATTCTCAAGGACAAAACCGTCTGGTGAAAATGGTAACAAAGAACAATAGTTTCTACTTTCAGATAAGGATTATGTGCACATCTTACTAGCCCCAGGAACACTTCTGATAACTATATAACAAATGCTAGGTAAATATTACTTTAATAGTTATAGTATAGTGGTAACTGTTACAGTATTATAATAACTGTCAATAGTGCTGTATTACTGATCATAACTTCGATAGACTCTCTTCCCCTGTAATCTCATGGTTTCGCTCTTGTACATAACTCTGACCTGCATCATGAGCAAGAGACCTTTCCAGCATGTTGGGGACATTCTGGTCTATATTACCTGTTCCCCAAACATAATCACTTCTTTATTTCTTGCAGTACATCAGATGACGAAAAACAGCAGCATGAAATATCTAAGCAAAAAATGAAGCCACAAGGATGCCTTTTGTTCTGTTACTATTTGTGGTAAACTTGCCTTCTTGCATTAATAGTCTTGTATCATAGCTGAACCACTGCAAATAGGAATAAGTATTATATGTAACAAGATACTGTGCCAGATCCTATCTATGAATTTTTAATATTGCCAATATGAACAATCAACAGTACGTATTAATTTCTTGGGTTTTCTCCATATGTTGTCTCCTGGATTTTTACATTAAAAAACTCCTCCTCAAATTCCCTTCTCTTTTCAAAATCTGCCACTAAAAGATACAGGCTACCTCATTTTTAATCCTAGGATAACATTTTTCTCAGAACAAGCTGAGAGCATGGGTGTCTATTACTAATGATAGCTAGGGACAAAGAATAAGGACCCTTTTCCCCCCGAGAGCCTTGTTGTGCTGTGAACACCTGGCTTCTCAAGGCTCGTGAGGACAGAGGAAAGAAAGGTACTTTAGCCAATTTAGCTTACTGGAAGACCCACATGAAAATATCAGATACACAAGGGAAATAGTCTTTAATTACCCAAATATGGAATTTAATTATATTGTGTGCACACAAATAATAGGGCATGAAAAATCTGGGTAAGTGAAGATAGACAAAATGCAGTTAAATACACTTTATTTTGCCTGCCACCATACACAAATAATTAAATTACAAAAGCTGATTTTTCAGAGCCCTTCACTCTCTTGGAACCAGCCATTTAATGTTTAAAAAAATAATTAAACTCCTTCAACTAGGAAACAGTAGTCAAATGATCTTTCTATGAGCATCAGTTTGAGATGTGATGAGAAATGCGAACCACACTCTATAGCCAGAATAAAATTTGGACAGCATTTCATTCAAACAAAGGTTGCAGATCATGTTGAGTATGTACTTTTGAAATACAAAGTTTCTCCCCTAATGCATGTAGAATCCAATCCAGGAGCAAATGCAAACCTAGTCAGTGTGACCTATCAGTTTTACAACACATGGAACAGGTGCATTGGGTTAATTAAAGAGCAAAAACACTTTTAAAGTGAATAAAAATGGAAAATAATTAGACTTGTCTTGGACATCCAGGTGTAAACATCTTAAAGCACAAAACTTAGTCTTCATAATTCTCTTCCCATCCTTCATATGCTGGCATCTTTCCTCTTTAATAGTTGTATATGGAGAGTAACATAATTGGCATGAAGCCTTGTAGGACATCAGAATCTCACCAATCCACTGCTACATCTGTAATCTACTTACATAGTTCTAGACGAGTCAAAAGCTGGTGGTTGGTCAGAGTTTGAGTTGAACCTGGATTAATATCTAAATTAAACTAAGTTATTGTTCATTTGTGTTTTACAGAGTCTATGTTATCTCCTAAACTGGCTTTTCCACTTGTATCATTTTCCTAAAAATTTTAAGTAGGTATGATTTACTATGATATTCCATGAAACTGTTTCATCTCCTATTGTATTTTGGTAGCATCCTTAAAGAATCTGACTTCAAATGATTTTGATGGTCGCTATTAGAGAGAACTAGAACTTACTAAAACTGAAAAGTAGTAAATGTAGTGCAGCTACTGTGAATTTTGGGGGTTTTGTATCCTAAGCTAATCTAGCACTGAGGGGAAGTACCAGGAATGCACAGTACCTTATCCTACTGTCCAACAGGAAATAAACATCATCTTATGCATCTCAGTAGAACCACAGTTTTAACATATGAAATCCTAGAAACTGTACAGAGGTAAGAGCAGGACACCTATGGGCCAGGTTCTTTACCTCCAGGTTTCCTTCAAGAGCTTTTAAAGTCACTTAGAGTGAGCTTAATCCTAGTGTAGAAAATTGTGACCTTTTTAAAGAAGGCTCTTGAAGCTTGTTAGTGCACTCTCCTAGTCATTTTTTTTTTTGTTTTCAGTGCGGATCAGTTCTTCTAAGCTCATCAGGCACTTACAGCAACTCCCATCTGAAAAATTATCCTTTTCTCTCACCTCTCTGCCTTGAATCTGGATCCTTGTTCAAATTAATGTGATCAAGTACAGTTCTCCTCAGTTAATAGACCTAGCTGAAATTAACAAAACAACAAAGTGTAGTTCAGGTAGCATTCCCTTGAGGAGGTCCATGTATATAGTCATCTGAGGTGCACCACAGAAACGAATTAGATTTGAAGCAGTTTTTGTATTACTGTTAACTGAGGTGAAGGCCAAATTATGTCTGTGCTTTGTGTAATATTTGCTTGCAACAGACAGCTCTGTTGGTGGGTGCTGAATAGCCTTTTCTGAATCTTTTGAGGAGATATTAAATGAGCATTCAATAAACTTGCAAATAAACCCTATGTTACTACTTAAGTCTCTCTTCTATATGTCACTCTCAAACTTTGAAAGGCATAGAAGAGAGGTTAATCCCTGAGGTAGTGCCGATTCTTTGAGAAAGTAATCCTCTAAGATTACTTCTAAGGTAGAAATTAAATGTAAATGAACTGTATGTTCTCACCTGCAGTAAAAGCTGTAATTCTTTACAGACTGATTTCACTGTAGGCAGTAAAACTAACATTCATGCAAAAGTTATGAGGCTTCATTTAGTGATCTAGCCAGCTCTTATTGTCAAATGGCCAGAATACTTCAGTGGGTCCTCTCTTACAGGCTAATCTGCTACCATTAAATGATTTTCATTTCCTTCTATGGTATTTAGATAATCAAACATTTTGCTAGTGGTGCACTAACTACTTTAAGCAATTGAATAATGTGATTTGGCACTTCATAAACTAAGCGCTAGTAGTGATCATCTTGCTTTCCAGTGATTTGTGTGCCAGAAAGAAAAGCATTTGCAAGAAGAATATTTAAAACTCACTATTAAGGACTGACACTTTAACGTAGTATCATTATATTAGAAGGAAGCCACCCAGAATTTTCTATAGTAAAATGCTTGCTGAATTGGTGACTGTGATTTTTTTTTTAAATTAAAAATTAATACTTGTTACATTTTCAAGTGTAAATATTGAAAAATAGCCTATTGCGAAGTGAAAAGGCACAGGTTTAAAAATAGTGTAGTTGTTTCCATGGATACGTTTGCTCTTTGGCAAAAAGTATTTTATACACTTCTACAAGAATAAGCATCATCTTCAATATATCTCTCAAGGAAGGGACCCTGTAATTTTAACCATAACAATAGAATTCGTACTTTTAAAAATGTGATCTTTCTACCTTACTTCAAGGTCATGTTACAGTTGCTCTTTGGAGCAGAAGAACTCAAGTGCAGTAGAAGAGTGCAGCTTTGTGTTAAGCCAGCAGCCGGCAGGCATTTTAACATATAGCTCACTTTGTAAAATATCAAGACAAATAGCAACCTCTTACAACAAAGCAGTAATCAAAGTGCAAGTGGACAGTGTTAGACAGACAGCACAAGAGTTTAAATTACCACTAGCCTGAATTTGGGGAAAAAGCACCAGAAACTGAACCAGACTACTGAAAAAATAGTTTTGTGAAACATCTTAAGTGGGTTTGCTGAGTCTCAGGTATAATTGAAAGACACATTAAAATTATTGTTCCTTGCTGAAAAATAGATGTATAGTTGTTTGTTGGTTTGTTTTTTTTAAGAACTAGTCTTTGTAACCCTGATGTGGTTTCTTAGTAACAGTCAGGATGTCATTTGATACAGTCATTTTTGTTCTGGAGCATACTGTGGCTTTCAGCACAGCCCATCAGTCACTAAGATACTTGCATACTTCCCAGTGGAACCATAAGAGCTTCAGTGCTGTAGTTTCTTTGATTCTTACTACAGCAGCTGCACCATTAGCCTTGGCTGTGACTGAACAGGAGAACATCAGGCACATCATTGGCATATTGTATCGCCAGAGTATTTGTTATTCTTGCCAGTTTTCTATTTGGCTACCACACTCTGCATTTCTCTGCAGGATGCATGGCTGTACCCTTTTTACAATGGAACACCTCCGAGAAGGCCTCAAAGTTCTGCAAAGATCCCATCACCCTAAACAAAGAGAAGGAACTTATTTACATGGATGCAGTGCATGGAGACCATTGCTCTGGAAAAGAGTAAGCCATATCCATGAAGTGAATTAGAATCAGATACTTCAATTACGGTCTCAGTGTGTGAGACATTCTACCTCTATGCAAGAAGAACATAGCTAATATGACTAATGAAATTCTAGAACAAACAGACAGCCTATTAGGTGGATTCTGGTGCATTCTCTGTAACTTGACAAATTAACTAGGCAAATCAAAGGAAAGTACCCTTCTTCAGCAGTTTCCTAGGAGGTATCGGAGAAATTCTGAAAGTTAGTCTAGTTTTTCTTGCTTGTTAGAATATAGCTGCTGGCAGATGAGCCACTCTCTCCTTTTGCAGTATATTGGAGTGATGGGTTGACCCAAAACACATCATCAGTTAGTAAACCACTTAGTAAAACCCACCTGTATTTCAGAGGGCTGTGAACATCTGTCTTTATTGACTGGCTAGCATATTCTGGTCGGTAGGAACCACACCAAACCTAGACAAGGAGGATTAATAATTTGCAGGTCAGTATTAAAAGGAATTGAATTTGGGGCCGTCTCCCTGTTTTTCAAAGTTTTTTCCTAAAAGCCATCCCAATTTGTTGCAAGATAGCTGGAGTTATGTTTTATAGTGGAGGCAGACCAAAATACAATTAGTTACTAATTAGTTTATTTTTTTTCAAGTTCTTAGATCAGGATTTGATGCTTTAGGACAGATATATTAGCTCTTGGTTAATGTCACCCAAGTGTTTCCTGAAAGAGATGAGCTCAAATCAGACAGTCTACAAACTGCAACGCTAAGTCCCCTACTGACAAATACTTGTTACTCTTAAGAATGTAAACACACAGGTGTTTCTTGTCTAGGCCAGAGGGTGAAATTCAACTCAGCAAACGCCTTGTTTCTGCATTGGAGTAGAATGGCCTAGAGGAAAATAAACGGAAACAGTGGCAACATCTGTTACTTGAATACTAATTCAGATTCCTGGGTTGCTGAATTTATATTTCTCAAGCATTAAATCTACTCGAGCACATAACCATAACACATATGGCAATAGCAATTGCAGAGAATGGATGAAACCCTGCCTGTGTTGAAAGCAAAAGCAGTTTTTTCATCAGTTAGGGGAACCAATGCTTTACATGAAACGGCAAGCCCTTGAAAGTTGATGTCCCCCATATGTTGTTGTCTGACAGTCCTTTTGGTTGCTAGGTGCCCTATTTTCCTGTATCCTTACTCCAGTAGGTTTCAGTAATGCCCTCAGACAAATTAATGAAAACTCTTTCCTCCAATCATTAAACTGTCTTTCACATCTGTCTTGCAGACCTTTTGATGAGTACTGCCGATGGTGAATCTCTTACCAAATGGAGCTCAAGACTATGATTTTCTCCATAACCTTTAGGATAATCTAATTTATACTTTCATGTAGCATGTGGTGGGTATCCATATGTTCTCACCTGGGCAAAGTTGAGGAAGAAAAGCTGTTTGTGGGACAGATCCAGTCCAGGCAACTTTGGCTCCATCCCTTCCCGTTCAAGCCATTTCAAATAGGCCTAGATATGATCAGAGAGTCAATTCAGAAGAGCAGCAGGTCTGCTGGTTCAGACACGATGGGTTTTTGAATGTTATTTTTGGGGTGATACATTTCAGTGACAAGGTATGTGAATCCAACATGTTTTTCCTTCAGTATTTTTATAACTTTTATCTGCATAATATAACTGGTATGGCTAATTTTTTGAAGAACTTGTCATTGTAAGTATTTTGTTACTTTTCCATAAAAAAAGATGAAACACACAGGTATAATTTGCACTCATCTTTTGAAGTACAGCACTCTCTGAACTAAAAGCTGTTCAGAAAATAGTTAAAAAAAGAAAACCCCATAATCTAAATGGAAGTGGAGTTTTAGATTAGTAGTTGTTATTTGCCAGTGGATCCCCATTGCAAGTATCTACTTGTGTTCTTTAATGAGTCACCTGGAGATCTACTCTGAATTTCTGCAGAAAGGTGGCACACACTGTTTTTCCAAAACATAAGACACTAGCACTCTGATGGACCACTGGTGTGCTATTGTGTCTCAACAAGCAAGCATGACAGCTGTTTACAATTACTATCTTCTTGAAATATTAGATCAATACAATAACTGAGATTGAATGCTTGTGATTGCAGTGAAGTAAAATCATCAGCCTGGATATGACTTTTTCCATTAAAATTTGTATCTGGTATTAAAGTGTTAAGTCTTCTCCCCACTTTTATGGTGATGATTTCTATCTCTTCAGGTAACTGCTCAAAAAATAGCTGGTAATAACCTTGCTCAAAGTTAAAACCACTACCCATTATCATTAGACATTAATTGGCCAATTTTCTTTTTTAGGAATATCGACATCGTGGAGACAAGTTAATGTGTCCTCATGCTGGTTAATTTCAAATGTTTTATTACCTTATCCTCTTAGTTGCTGAGATAGTCCCAAAGCACACAAAACTTAGGAAAGGTAGAGGTAGGGGTAAAAATACATTCAACACCATAGTGCCTCAGAGGATTTTGTACTCAGGCCTTTTATGTCAGGCCACACTACTTTTCCACATTTTAGAGCCAAGTAAGTATTCACTTGAAAAAAGTAATTAATTTTAATGGTATCCATCAGAGTCAGAAACATCATTTTAGATTTCTGAAAATTAAGGATGTTCTTCTATAAACACCCTTAACTGTTCCCACATTCAAAACACCAGGTATAAAAAGTTTTACCATGACAACTATTAGAATTATTCAGAGAAAAGAACATTCCATGCTACCACCTTAGCTTCACATAGGAAAAACCTTCCTACTGATAAATACTCTGTTCTTATTCAGAGTAAGGGTTTGTAAGCCTGGAGGATTAAAGATATTGGACCTTCCTGAGGCTGGAAGGTGACTTTTCCTGATACAGCAGGAGAAATAAGATGACATACAATAGCATTTTTAAAAGATAACACCAAGATGGACAACACAGTTTTTCAACTTGCAGCACGAAGGTAGTGCACTGAAATACAAATTACATTTCTCCTGTTTTGAAAATAACTGACTAGTTGTAAAAACCTTTTACCTTGGAAAGAGGCAGCACTTCTGAGATTATCAGTCCTTGCATTTTTATTCTACTTACAGGCTGCACGGAAATAAAGAGTAGCAAGCTAGGGGAAACTTCTTTGTGTTAGTTTCCTATAGCTTATAGGACACATAAAGAAAGCAACAAAAGGAGCCAGGCTTTCAAAGCCAAATGTTTTCATAGATATGATCTGTATCCCCTTTCAGGAGGAGATGGTATATCCATCAATTCTTTCCATGTCCTACCTTACTTGTCACTTTTGAGATCAAAGATGAAAAGCATGAGAGAAATAAACTTGGAAAAAAACAGCTGCTGTGCTTCATAACATCATCAAACTGTGTTGCCAATAAACTGGTGTTCTGTTGCCATGTGAAAAGCTGTTTGAAGTTGTAGCTCCCACTTTCAGAATTAAAGGAAAATTAGAAAATGGAGGGTCTTTTACCCTTTCTCCTACGTAACACTGTGACTGTTTATGAACATAGCCTTTGTTTATCTGAGAGATACATATGCAGCATCAAGCATTTGGTGGGGCACCAAACTATAGCTAGGAGAATTAGGTCATTTCTCCTGAGTGCAAGAATGCAACAATACTGCCATATGATTGCATCCATGGGGATATAAGATTCCAGACATAAAACTGAGGCTTTAAGTTTTTGAATATGGTAATAAAATGTTAATTGTGATATTTTCTGTGGTCTATGATGAATCAGTGACCCCACTGCTGGATCCCAGGGAAAAATTAACTCATAATGTATTTGAAAGTTACCTTGTAAGCCTGCCGGACTCCTCCATTATCTGCAATATTTTCTCCTAATGTGCTTATTCCACTGACCTGTAACAGAATAATCATTCATTTAGCCTATAGTCAGTAACTTCAGTCACCCTAAGGACCACAAGTTCAAGCACAGTCATAAATCACAGATAAAACAGTCATGTCTGGAACAGAAGGCAACAGTGACTTTGTGCAGGACAAAGAAAAGAAAGAATGAAAGTAAATAATAATTAATAGCTTTAAAGTTAAGAATGAAAGTAAATAATAATAGCTTTAAAGTTGTAGACTAGAACAGAAATTTAGCTAAGAATATAGCAGGAACAGACTGTGGGCTGCTAGGAAGAACATATGCTAGCAGGACTGAGGATAGTATTTCCTACTACAAAACACAATAGGAAATACTAAGTTTTCTCCTCCACTCTCCCCAACCTAACAGGGTCTTTCAGCAAAAGCACACATGGACCGAATTCACCATCAACCCAATTGCACACATATATTACTGTTTTTCTAGGCTCTATTAGCTTTCCTGATTTAAGACAAACAACCTTTGTCTCACATTTCCAGAATGCTTACCATTTTAGTATTTGGAGTTTTATGCTTACTGTCTAAAGAGAGTCTCCATTTTCATTCACTTTTTTTGTAATAAAATCCAGTGGTGTGGAGGTGGTTGCTTTTAAAGGCAGCAGCCTGACCAGGCTGGAAAGGATGCTGATGGAGCAGGGCAGGGAGATGCCCTGAATCAACTTTTAGTTTGTTGTCTTTTTCTGAGTCTGAAGAAGTGATATGGAGAACATTTCAAGGCAAAATCTTGCTTTTAAAAACATAGTTTGGTGTTCTACTATTTTAGTTCACCTTTTCAGCACAGCATTCTGGGAAAAGTAGACCTATAAATATGTCTCCTCAAAGCCAGCTGAGGTAATTGAGGCTGAGGGTATGGATAGGGAATACTAGCCTGATTCAACATGGGATTTTAGCATTAGGATTAGACCTCAACTTAAATTTATAGTTTCTATCTGTAAAAACCTTTGACTTCTCTCTTCAGAAAATTTATTTTAGCCTTGTTTTCATATTGTGTCAAAGAAATTGTTTTGAATCAGCATTTTTCTAAAATATAGTTTGTTTGTTTGTTTTTTTCAAAAAAAAGGAAGCTTTTACTGTCTGTTTCACTCAGTGGCTAGCACTCAGATGATTCTTTCTGGCTTTATCTCAATAACTTTTTCAGAAACTATTACTTTAAATCCTAGAGAAATAAGAATCTGTCCCATACTACCAAAATAGAACACATCATCTTCCTCCTATTTTTTTAGACAAAGCTATTTAATTGCTTTGTTGAAGATAGCTTTTATAAAGGAAGTAAATGTAAGATTAGAAGTTTTTACTTCAAATGATAGTGGGAACTACTGAGTTATCTTCTCATCTCTAGGCACTAGTTTAAACCCTGTATTACAGAATTTGAACCAAGTGCTTGAAGCTTTGTTGTTGTCAAACCAGCAGCAGCTTCTGCTCCCTCTGAATGTTCTAAATAGTACCGTTCCTGGGGACTACACTTACATTTTGTCCTCCAGCCAGCTCCCATGTGTAGTTCCCATACTGATAAACCATGCAACGAGACTGCTCCTTGAAGTGCATAGCTGAGAAGTTGCTCCACCAGTCATACATATTTCCATCTTTATCAAAATTCCGACCTGTGTGTAAAGCCAAGAAAAATGGAAAGCTTTGAATGACAGCATGGCCTCCAAGTTAATCTGAGCAACCACTCTTCTACAGTGGCACCTGTTTCCTTTTAATGTTAGCGCTACACTTCCTCCCACTCTTTCCTCCTTTGATTTAGTTGATTTAATACACCCTTTTGTATTGTCTGCGCTCCAGAGATTTACCAGAAATATTTTTAGTAAGGTTGGTATTGCCACAGGACAAGGGAATGGACTAGATCACTTGTGGCCATTTCATCGCTACTCCCTATTTTTCTATCATTTCGTGTTCAGTCAACACACCTGACTTCAGTTATAGCACTAAAGCCTAGTTGTAGTTTCAGCTGGATTATGCAAACACCATATAATAAAATTCATTACCTCCTTTTAAGTGTCTAAGGTGCTTGTTCTGTGCGTCCATGTGAGAAAACTGAGGATCATAAGAGTTAATGACTTTGCCACAAAAGGAGAAAGCTGGAAGTACAGTTCTGGTGTTGCTGCTCTCAGCCATGTGGCTAGAGCATGCTTCTTATTTGCTATGGATCTAGATTCACTAGGCTGTATTGTGTGCTTATATATAAACTGTGCAAGCTTGATTAACGTAAAAATATTCAAGAACACCCATGTATAAGACATTACTGACTTAAGGTATCAAAAGTGAGTTTTTGCCCAAAACTATTTTAGATAGTGTTCTAGAGAAATGATAAAGTCAATTTATTTTGAAAGTTTGGGTTTAAAAAGTCTCCAGTGACTTTAAGACGCTACTAACAGCTCTTCTATCCCAAGAATGTAGTTCACACATTTCTTTTATGTTAGGAGCTAGCATATCTGCTTGCACTGACAGTATTTCTGAACTGATGATGCTGCAAAAGTAACAGGTTTTCTTAAGAACTCTCATTAACTCAATGTATTTTTAAAATCTGGTTACTTCTCGTGTGACCTGCTAAGTTCATGAAACATTCACACAAAAGAATGTTAATACAGTGTGACTGCATTGTTCCCCAACAGTGACTTATTGGGCATATGTACATATGTGCATGCATACTTCAGTCACAGCAGTGTGTACATTTAATTTCCTACAGAATAATGAGAGAAACTGTAAAAAGAATATTTTCTCAGATATCTTCTCACCGTTGTCATCAAAGCCATGAGTTATTTCATGCCCAATAACCATTCCTATCCCCCCGAAGTTTAGTGCTTGTAGTTGATGTTTGCTGAAGAAGGGAGGCTGTAGAATCCCTGCAGGAAAAACTGCAAAAAGAGAGAGAGAGTATGAGTGAGATAGATAGCTTTATTTTTGCATGGTGGCAGACAGGTTGGTTGTTTGGTTTAAGGGTCAAGAAGGAATCTAAAATATGAGGTGATTAAAGACACCATCACGTCTCCTTATGGGAAATTGTTTCTCTCTTGGTAAACAGACAAGGACAAGTTATTAGTGGTTTAATTCAGCACATCTGGAACTACAGTATCTGCCTATTTGAGAACCAAGCATCATTTATATTTCAGCTTTAGCCTCATTTTATATATAATGTGTGCTGAAGTGAGTAAAGCGCAAAATGTTTACTACTTGTCCTCTGGAAATAGGTACAGTTTGTGGTTTAGAGCCATTTTATAGGGGAGCTAATGGATGTTTTATTGCTTTACTTTTGTTTATGTTAAATAAAGGTTAGCAGTCTTATGCAGGTTACCAGCAACACTCAGTGTGTAAAACATGCTCAGCAGTACTTCCTAGTGACTACCAATGTGGATGGCACTTGGATGCCACTCTTTAGGAGGGAGGAGAGGGAA